TTTTTGCATATTAGCATCCTTTTCTTTCAGAATAGAATACCTGCAATAAAAAAATTTACTAGAAGAGCTTAATAGAAAATTAGCCATTTGCATAAAAAAGATTATGGAACTTGAAGAAATAGCAATAAACACTATTCAAAATGAAGCACAGAAAGAAAAATAAGGCTAACAAAAAAATGAGCAGAAACTCAATGATCTACGGGATGATATTAAGTTAACTAATGTATGTGAAATTGGAATCCCAAAAGGAGGAAAGAGACAGAAAAATATTTGAGGAAATAATGGCTGAAAACTTTCCAAATTTGCTGAAAAGTATAAACACCCAGATCCAAGTAGCTCAATGAATTCCAAGTACGAGAAATACAAAGAAAATTATACCAACGCACATAATTAAACTGCTGAAAAGTAAATGATAAAGAGAAAAATCTTAAAAGCAATAAAAAGAAAAAAAAGACACATTACACACAAAGGTAGAAAATTTTAAACCACTGACTTATTTAAAGCAGTACAAGCCAGGAGACAATGGAATTACATCTTGAAAATACAATGAATGAAATTAAAAAAAAAAAAAAACCTGTCAGCCTAGAATTCTAAATCTAATGATAATATCTTTCAAAAATAAAGGCAAAATAAAAGACTTTTTCAGAAAAATAAAAGCTGAGAAAACTTGGCAACAACAGACCCGTGCTTCAAGAAACGTTTAAGGAGGTTCTTCATGCTGAAGGAAAATAGCTCCATATGAAAACCAAATCTAAATAAAAGGAAAGAGCACTAAAAATGGCCAACTTGTAGGAAAGCAGAAAATATATTTTTCTAATTTTTTTATTTCTTTAAAAGCTCATTGAACCCTTCACCCTATCTGTTTCCTTCCCCCTTCCCATATAGTTCTGTCCTGAAGTTATTAGGTTGGGCCAAGCAGAGTAGGCATCCATGCCACTTTAAGGGGAGTGGGAGGAACTGAGGCAGCCCAGAGCAGGGTATCAGAATTAGTGTGCATGGAAAGGAGGGTATCCACTTGGTGGAGCAGCCTAGCACAGGGTTTTTGAGTCCAAGAAGGATGAGAGGAGTGTCCCTAAGGAGGAATGGCCGAGGAATATTGGAGCCCAAGTGGGAAAGAAAGGCAAACTGAGGAAGCATGGCTTATTGTGAGGTATTGGAGCCCAAGGCAGGTGGAGCCCAAGAAGAGGACATCTGCCCAAATCCCAATCTTGTACACTGATAGGACACAATGAGAAAAACACAATAGAATCATGGCTTTGGTCTTTCTAACCAAAGTTATAACATAACTTTACTCATGAGGAAACAAAAAACACGCCCAAACTGACAGCCATTCTACAATAAAACTTTCCTAATCTTCATGTGAAGGTCATAAAAACTAAAGAAAGACTGAGGAACTGTTCTAGACTAAAGGAGACTAAGGAGACATGATAACCAATTGCAACATGTAATCTAGACTGGGTCCTCTGGCTAGAACATTATTAGGACAACTGAAGAAACCTGAATTTGGAGGATTTTGATGGTTGACTATAATAGAATCCCCTTGTATAGTACAGGAAATACATCAATAATATTCATGGGTGATGAGGCATCATGTTGGCAACTTACTCTCAAATTGTTCACAAAAAAAAGTTATTTGTTCTGTACTTACAACTTTTGTATAAGTTTGAGATTGTTAAAAATAAATTATATATGCTAGATAAAAGATTATTGACTGTTTAAAGCAAAAATAATAAATTATATTAGCTTATAGATGTATAGAAACAAAATGTATGCCAATAATAGCACAAAGTACAGAAGAGAGAAAATAAAATCATATTCTTTTTAGGTTCTTATATGCAAAGTGGCATAAAATTATTTGAAGGTAATATGTGATATCTTAAAAATTTATATTGTAAACCCTAGTCTAGCCAGTGATAAAATAAACAAAGGAATATTTGCAGTTAAAAGAACAGTTCACAGGATAAAAAAAAAAAAACAGCTGCGTAAGTGTAGGAAGGAATGTAATCTGGCTTACAGAAACAATTAAGAATAACATATTAGAGGCCGGGCGCGGTGGCTCACGCCTGTAATCCTAGCACTCTGGGAGGCCAAGGCGGGTGGATTGTTTGAGCTCAGGAGTTCGAATCCAGCCTGAGCAAGAGCAAGACCCTGTCTTTACTAAAAATAGAAAGAAATTAATCGGACAACTAAAAATATAGAAAAAATTAGCCGGGCATGGTGGCACATGCCTGTAGTCCCAGCTACTCGGGAGGCTGACGCAGAAGGATCGCTTGAGCCCGGGA